CGCCTCCGGCGCCGGGAGGCGCCGGGAAAATCAGCTACGTGAGCTGATTCTCAAACCCCCCCTTTGCTATCCCCCCCTTTCGCCCGACCCGACTGGCGCGCGGAGCGCGCCAGGGGCGGCGCGGATCCAAGAGGTCCGCGCGGACCGTCGACAGTTTATGTTTATGCCGTTTTTTCTCCTTCTGCGTAAGTAAGAGGAACGGGCGAGCATAAAACGGGAGGGCTACTTCCGACTGGGCCCGTCGACAACCACGAAGGGGCGGGGGTTTCCAAGGCATCGGAAGCAGAGCAGGAGCATGAGGAGGGAAGAGGAGGAGGAGGAGGAGGAGGAACAGGAGGAGGAGGAGGAGCAGGAGGAGGAGGAGGAGGAGGAGGAGCAGGATGAGCAGGAGGATGAGGGAAGAGGTGGAGGAGATAGAGGAGAGGAGAGGAGTGAGAGTGGAGGAGGAGGAGAAAGAGGAGGAAGGTCTGAGGAGGAGGAAGAGGAGAGGAGTAGAAGAGGAGGAGGAGGAGAGGAGGAGAGGGGAGGAGGAGAAGAGAAGGAGGAGGAGGATGATGACACCCCCCATGCTTGCCGAGCGGCCCGAACCGCGTCCCCATGGTGTCTGTGCGAGGCGGCGCTGAAGGCTGTCATCGCAAAACCTAAGCTCATTCCACAAATCGTCATGCCTGCTCCTTTCCCCCCTCCTCCTCCTCCTCGTCCTCCTCCTCCTCGTCCTCCTCCTCCTCGTCCTCCTCCCTTCTCGCTCCCCCCTCCTCCCGGCTCCCACTCCCTCCTGTCCTTCCCCTCCTTTCCCCTCTTCTTGCTCCTAACATTCCCTCGTCCGCCTCTTCTCTACTCGCCCTACATGCTTTCTCCTCCCCCCATCCTCATTGTCGTCCTTCTCATATCCACTCCTCCTGCATCTTGCCTCATCCTCCGCCTCCTCACCGTCCTCCTGCTGCACATCCTTCTCCCTCGTACTACCCCTCCCACTTTATTTCTATTCCTCATGAGTAACTCCTCCCTATCGCACCCCGAGGCCAGTCGGAAGGGCGGGCCCTGCGTTTTGCCTGAGACTTCCTTACCACATATGGGCCTGAAGCCAAAGCATTGGTATTCGAATCACATATCGAGGATGGACCGCCGTTTCAAACAAGCGCAAAAGTTTCACGGATTGAGAGCGGGCCGTTTTCAACATGTGGTTCTCGTCTTAGCGGCGCGCGCATTCGGCTTACACAGGTGCAAGGGGTTTCACGGATAGAGGGCGGGCCGTTTTCAATGTGTGGTTCTCGTTTTAGCGCTGCGCTCATTATGTTTACAGTTGCAAGAGTTTCACCGATTGGGGGCGGTACGTGTTCAATATGCGGCTCTCGCCTCAGCGCCACGCACCAGAAGTGGTGTCTTGGAGCGATTCACGGTTTTCAGGGCGCAACATTTACGTTGTTAATTCGCGGTGTTGTAGTCCTAGGAGTGGTGTTCTGTTTGGCACGATTCAGGGCCGTCAAGACGCAACAGGCAGGATGATTCGTGGCGTTGAAATTCTGAGAATGGTGCTTGGACACGCTTCAGGGCTTCCACTCGGTTGTCCCCAAACTGGGCGTTTCCCACAGTGGGAATTAGCTTTTGTAGGGGCCTCTGAAGAGGGAGTTTGGAGGGAGGGTGTATTCCATCATAGTTGTTACGTCTTGGGTGTACAAGTGTCCTCCTCGCCTCCTCGTACGCCACCCATCCTCATTCCCATTAATCCCCGGTTCCCACGTTCACCACCTCTTACCCTTCTCCTTCTCACTTCCCCATCATGGCCCCCCTTTCCACAGGCCTTCTCCTCCCCATCGTCCCTGCCATCCCCCGTCATCGTCCTTCTTCCTTTACCCTCTCTCCTCCGTCCTCCTCTTAGGCTCCCCGTCCTCGCTCCTCCTCCTCGCTCCTCCTCCACCTCCTCCTCCTCCTCCTTCTCCTCCTCCTCCTCCTCCTCCTCCTCCTCCTCCTCCTCCTCCTACTCACAGCTTGCCTTTCACTCGTCCTCCGCCCTCGTCGCTCCTCTCTCCTTAACCCTTCCCCATCCTCTCCCTCCTGCTCCTCCTCATCTTCCTTCCTCCTCCACTCCTCCTCTTCCTCATCCTCATCCTCCCATCCTCTTCCTCCTCCTCCATCCTCCTCCTCCTCCTCCTCCTCCTCCTCTCCCCTTCCTGCTCATCCCTCCCCGCCACCCTATCAACAGGGCCCTGGCGCTGCTGGTCCTGGGCGCCCGGCAGGCCTCTGCCCAGATCAGGGTCATGTCGCCGCAGCACCTCGTCGACCAGCTGAAAAACCACGGCAGGATTGTGGGCTCCGGTTTCCCTTCACTCTCCATCATTCCTCCTCGATTGCCCTTCTATTCTCTTTTTCCTCCCGCCTCTGCTCCGCTCTTCCTTCGTCGTCCTCACCCCCTCCCACGTCCCCCTTCGCATCCTCTGCCTCACTTCGCCTCCACCTCTGTCTTCCTCCTCCCCCCCCTCCTCTCTCCTCATCGTCAATTCTCGTTCTCCTCACCCTTTCTCCTCGTCCTCCCCATTCCGCCTCGTCCTTACCCTTTCTCCGTCCCCCTGCTTTCTTCATCTGCCTCTCTCTATCTGTTCTCCTCCCCCCTCTTGTTTCGTCTCTCCTATCTCCTACCTCCTCCTCCTTCTCCCCGCCTTCCACCTCCTCCCCCTCCTCCTCCCTCCGCCTTCCGGGAGGCATGTGTGACGAGGGAGGAGGAGGCGACGAAGGAGGGAGAGGAGGAGGAAAAGGCAAAGGAGGAAGAGGATGAGGAAGAGGAGGAGAAGTAGTAGTAGGAGGAGGAGGAGGAGGAGAAGCAGCAGCAGGAGGAGGACGATGCGGAGGGAGGATGGAGGAGGGAGGAGGGAGGAGGGAGGAAGATGGGGGAGTGCAGGAAGGAGGGGGAGGGGTGACCTCTCCTCCTCCTCCCCTCTCCTCCTCTTCCTCCTCCTCCTCCTCCTCCTCCTCCTCCTCCTCCTCCTCCTCCTCCTCCTCCTCCTCTCCCCCCCTCCTCCCACCCACGCCCCGAGGATCGACGGCTCCACCGCCACCTTCGGCGCGCCGTACTTCGGCCAGCGCGTCCTCGGCCGCCTGGCGTACGCCAGCGACGCCAACAGGAAAGCGCAGCACTGCACCAAGGACCAGTTCGCGGCGCGCACGCCGACGACGCCGTCGGCGACGCCGGCGTCGTTTTGAGCGCCTCTGGAGGTCCTCGCCGCCACGGCTGGGCGCAGCTCCGGAATTTGGCGAGGATGGATCCCGAGAGGGCCTCGTGGGCCAGTTGGGAGCAGAGTCCTCTCGCTTCGCGGGGTGCACGTCCGGAGCACGTGCAGTCCAGTCGTTGCGGGGCCTCTTGGGGGCTTCTTTGTGGCCTCTTGGAGGTGTCTTGGGGGCTTCTTGGGGCCTCTTCCACACTGGGCTTCTTTGGGGCCTCTTGGGGCCTCTTGGGGGCGTCTTGGGCTGTCTTGGGGCGCTCTTGCGGCGTGTGGCCCATTCGGAGGCCAGTCTCTCGAGGCCAGTCTGGGGCCTCTCGCGTCCGTAATCGCCGCTGTGGAAAAGTGTTCAAATGTGGAAGGTGTGGGCCACGGTGTGTGCGTTGGTTGGCGTGATCTGCTCGGCTGCCGCGCGTGCGTGCCGCTCCGTCCTGCAATCCCCAGGGCTGGGCGGCCTCATTGGGGGCTCTTGCAAGCCTCTTGAAAGCCTCGTGGGGGCTTCTTGGAGCGTCTTTGGGGCCGCTTTGGGGCCTCTTGGGGCTTCTTGTTGACGTCTTGCGCCGGCTTGGGGCGCTTTTGTGCCGTCTGGCCCCTTCGGAGGCCATCTTGGAGGCCTCTCGCAGCCGCCTTAGGGCTCTCTTGGAGTCCTCTTGGGCCGTCTTGGGGGCCCCTTGGACCGTCTTGGGGGCCTCTTTTGGCCGTCTCGGGGCCCTCTTGAGCAATCCTGGGGCCCCTTTGGGGGCCTCGTTGGCCGTCTTGAGGGCTTCTTGGAGGCTGCTTGGGCCGTCATGGTCCTCTGAAAGCCGAAAAAGGCGAGAACGCTATCATCGTTCAAAAGCTAACGGGGAATCAATGATTTTGGCCTCTGGAGGCGCTCTTTCGAGTCCTCTTGGGGCCCCCTTGAGCCTTCTTGGGGGCCTCACGGGCCCTCTTGGGACCATCCAGGGCCGTCTTGGGGCCGTCTTGGGCCGTTTTGGGGCCATCTTGGGCCATCTCGAGCCCAAATCGTAGATTTCCGATGTGTTTTTACCTAACAGCGAAGACTGATAGGTTTCTAGTTGACTCAAAAGAGCTCACAGATCACTCCACAGGGGGGTCCGGGCAGGCGTTGGGAGTTGCCGGCCGGGCCTGTGCCGGGCTCGTTTTTCACCAACAGTCACACACTTCGTGCTCGTCGACCTCAGAACCCCATTCCCAGGCCACATTCTGAATAACCGGATGCAACAGTCACACACTTGGTGCTCCTTGACCTCCCAGAACGCCATTCCCGGGCCACATTTTGGATGCCCGGAGCCAACTGTAGGCCACTTCGTGCTCTTCTATTTCCCAGAACTCCATTCCCGGGCCACATTTTGAATGCCCCGAGCCAACTGTAGGCCACTTCGTGCTCTTCTATTTCCCAGAACTTCATTCCCGGGCCACATTTTGGATGCCCGGAGCCAACTGTAGGCCACTTCGTGTTCTTCGACTTCCCAGAACTCCATTCCCGGGCCACATTTTGAATGCCCCGAGCCAGCTGTAGGCCACTTCGTGATCTTCGAGTTCCCAGAATTCCATTCCTGGGCATGATTTTGAATGCCCGGAGCCAACTGTAGGCCACTTCGTGTTCTTCGAGTTCCAGAATTCCATTCCCGGGCCACATTTTGAATGCTGAGGCAGGCTGAGGCTGAGGCTGAGGCAGGCTGAGGCTGAGGCAGGCTGAGGCTGAGGCCGAGGCTGAAGGCAGACTGAGGCTGAGGCTGAAGCAGGCTGAGGCTGAGGCAGAGGCAGGCTGAGACTGAGGCAGGCTGATGCTGAGGCAGGCTGAGGCTGAGGCTGAGGCTGATGCAGGCTGAGGCTGAGGCAGGCTGAGGCTGAGGCTGAGGCCAAGGCTCAAGGCAGACTGAGGCTTTGGCTGAAGCAGGCTGAGGCTGAGGCTGAGGCTGAGGCTGAGGCAGGCTGAGGCTGAGGCTGAGGCAGGCTGATGCGGAGGCAGGCTGAGGCTGAGGCTGAGGCTGAGGCTGAGGCTGAGGCTGAGGCTGAGGCTGATGCAGGCTGAGGCTGAGGCAGGCTGAGGCTGAGGCCGAGGCTGAAGGCAGACTGAGGCTGAGGCTGAAGCAGGCTGAGGCTGAGCAGGCTGAGGCTGAGGCTGAGGCTGAGGCAGGCTGATGCTGAGGCAGGCTGAGGCTGAGGCCAGGCTGAGGCTGATGCAGCTGAGGCTGAGGCTGAGGCTGAGGCAATGCAGGCTGAGCTGAGGCAGGCTGAGGCCTGAGACGAGCTGAAGGCAGATTGCAGGCTGGGCTGATGACGCAGGCTGAGGCTGAGGCAGAGGCAGGCTGAGGCTGACGGCTCTGAGGCAGGCTGTGATGCTGAGGCTGGCTGATGCGAGGCAGGCTTGAGGGCTTGAGCTGAGGCTGAGGCAGGCTGAGGCTGAGGCAGGCTGAGGCGGATGCCAAGGCTGAGGGCTAGACGGAGGGATGAAGGCTGATATGAGGCCCGAGCTGCGGCCAAGGCCAGGCTGATGTGAGGCTAGCGGCCGCGGAGGTGAGAGAGGCTCATTTGCAGGCATGAGGCTGATGGCAGGCGGGAGGATGAGGCCGAGGATGAGCAGAATCGAGGCGAGGACTTGAAGCAGGCTGAGGTTGAGGGGTGGGCAGGCTGAGGCTGAGCTGATGCAGGTGAGGCTGAGGCAGGCTGAGGCTAGGCTGAGGCTGATGAAGGCGAGGGCTGCGGCAGGCGAGCTGAGGCAGGCAGGCTTGAAGCAGACTGAGGCTGAGGGCTGAAGCGGTGAGGCTGAGCTGAGGCAGGCTGAGGCTTGAGGCTGTAGGCAGGCTGAGCTGCAGGCTGATGCTGAGGCAGGCTGAGGCAGGCTGAGGCTGATGCAGGCTGAGGCTTAGGCAGGCTGAGGCTGAGGCCGAGGCTGAAGGCAGACTGAGGCTGAGGCTGAAGCAGGCTGAGGCTGAGGCTGAGGCAGGCTGAGGCTGAGGCTGAGGCAGGCAGATGCTGAGGCAGGCTGAGGCTGAGGCTGAGGCTGATGCAGGCTGAGGCTGCGGCAGGCTGAGGCTGAGGCCGAGGCTGAAGGCAGACTGAGGCTGAGCTGAAGCAGGGCTGATAGGCTGAGGCAGAGCAGGCTGAGAGCTAGGCTGAGGCATTGATTGCTGAGGCAGGCAGATGCTGAGCCTGAGGACAGATGCAGGCTGAGCTGACTGGCTGAGGCGGAGCAGAGCTGAAGCAGACCTGATGCTTGAGGCTAAGCAGGCTAGGCTGACTGAGCAGCTTGAGCTAGGCAGGCTGAGGCTGAGGCTGGAGGCAGGCTGAGGCTGAGGCTGTGACTGCGACTGCCGTTGCCACTGCGACTGTCATCGCGAATGCGACTACGACTGCGAGAACAGCAGAATTCTACAACTGGATTCTCATCCGAGTCTTAAGGGGAATGCTTCCAGATATGCTCCTACACATCGATGTTAGGTTGCTTTGCCGGGATAATTTTAAACAGGTTTTGAGAGCCCGAAAAGGGGGGCACCACCTTGGTACGGCGGAGAGTCGCGCTTCCAAGGGGGAAACATAATAATGTAAAACAACACCATATGTGGCAACTTCTGCAGCCCTTGGATACATGGGATACGTTGCATGATTGCCTCCGCAGAAAACGCTGCCGCTCAGCACGTCACTTCCGGACGTGGATTATTGGGCTTACGCCGCACCGCCGACCCCTTGGGGGGCTCCTGGTAGGTCTCTCGGGGGCCTCCTGGCAGTACTTTTGAAGCCTTTGAGGGGCCGTTTCGGTGCCTCTTGGGGTCTCTTTTGGCCATCTGATGAGCCTCTTGGAGCCTCTTGGGGGCTTCTTGGGGCCCTCTTGGGGCCTCCTGGAGGCTTCTTGGGGCCGAGGGCTCGAAATTTACGTTCGGGTCCCCCGCCTGGGCCCCCTCCTGGAGCCGTCTTGGGGGCCTCTTGGGCCGTCTTGGGGCCCTCTTGGGCCGTCTTGGAGCCTTCTTGGGAGCTTCCTGGGCTGTCTTGGGGCGATCTTGGGGACCTCTTGGGTCGTCTTGGACGATGTGAAAGCTGAAGAGGCGAATTTGCTAAAATCATACGTTTCCCGAAGGGAATGGGACGATTTTTGCTTCCGGGGGCCCTCTTGGGACGCCTCTTGGGGGCCTCTTGGGGCGTCTCGGGGGCCTCTTGGGCCGTCTGGGGGCCATCTTGGGCGTCTTGGAACGAACGATCGGCGACTCGGGGCCCTCTTGGACCATCCTGTGGGCCTCTTGAGGCCCTCATGGCCCGCCGTGAGGCCCGTGGCGCGTTCAGCCGGGCCCCCCCCCAAACCGTTCAGACCGGGCCCCGGGGGGAGGGGTTTGTGGAGGGGGAAGCATCCCACGTGCCGATGGGAGCAGACTTCTGGCGGGGGGCAGGGCGAGCGGGCGCCGGTCCAGAGCACCGTCGGGTTCTCTCGCGGAGGTCCGCGGAGGTCCTCGGGGCCCCGGGGGTGGTCTCCATCAGCTGCGCCTCGTCGGGGGCGTTCCTTGGGGGGGGGCGCGGAACGCTCCCGCCCGGGCCTCGTGGCCTCGGCCAGGAGGGCATGCGCACCACGAAATGAGGCATGTTTCTCGCTTCTGCTCTGCTCTGCACCCCCTCGGGTCTCATCGGTCCTCTGCTCTCTGCATCGGCTTCTGCTCTCTCGCCGCAGGGCCGAGCGAGGAGGCGGACTAGGAGGCCGAGGAGGTCTCTCCCGCCCCTCCGACGCCCGGCCGCCGCTCACGGTGGAGGGTGGGGTGCCTGCTGGAGAGGCCCCGGCGCCAGCCTCGTCCTGCCTCCTCCCCTATCCCTCTCCTCGCTGGACTCGGAACCGAGTCGGTTAGGTTGGGTCGGTGCTTCAATTAGCTTTTGGGGTCGTCCTGTCGTGTTCTCGGCCTTTGGCCTTTGGCCGAGGGTGTCCTGGCCAGAGGCAGCCTGTCGCCTTCGACTACATCAAGGAGGTGGGTGGGGGGGTGGCCAGTTTGAATTGGACCCAAATCCCGATCGTGGGGACCCCCCGAGGCGTGTCCGAGCCTGGAGTTCCCCCGATGCGTGTGTGTGTGTGTGTGTGTGTGTGTGTGTGTGTTTGTCTGTGTGTGTGTATGTGTGCGTGCGTGCGTGTGCGTGTGTGTGTGTGTGTGTGCGCGTGTGTGTGTGTGTGTGCGTGTGTGTGTGTGTGTGGGTGTGTGAGGGCGGGGGGCTTTCGGCTGTCCCTGTCCCTGGAGGAAGGAGGACGGAGGAGCCCGTTTATTGTTTGGGGCATGACGGGCGTCATGGCTTCCGCTCCCCCCCTATGACGTAACGCTCCCCCCCCCAGTGCGGTCCGGGCACTGCCGCCGTGCGCATTGGGATCCGCGTGCATAGGTGTTCGCTTAGGAATCCGCATAGGGGTCTGGTCCGCAGTCGTGGTCGCCGTCGTCGTCGTCATCGTCGTCGTGCTCGTTGCTCGTTGCTCGTTGCTCGTGGCTCGTCGCTTGTCGCTAATCGTCGTCGTTCGCGCGGACGCGGCTGGAGCCTGTTTTTTTTTATTCCGGGCCGATGCCGGCAATGATTTGGGGGGGCGGTGGAAGGCGGTCGATAACGTGACGTTTCGCGCTGGCGGTGTCTGGGAATGCCTCGGAATCACAGCGTCTGTTTGTGCCACCGTGCCTGCGGGCACAACAGCTCTTGTGTACATCACAGCGCCTGCGTACACCACATCAGCCGTGTGCAACACAGCACCAGTGTACACAACAATGTTTGCGTGCATTGCAATGCCCGTGTGCACCACGGCGACTGTGCACCATAGCAACCGCGTGCAACACAGCACCACTGTTGCAGATATAATGTTAGAAGGGATCCTTATGACAAAATGGAGCGTGTTTGTGGATACCACAGAGAACAACAGAAATATAATCCTTATGGACAAAGGGACGCCGCTGGAATCTACGAGTCCTCCCGAGTCCTCCCGCATCACCCTAACTCCTCCCATCTGCGTCCAGGAACTTCCAGCCAAATTGGCCGTCCAAGAACCAGGTGGACCGATTCAATAGACCATTCTGCGGTGCGCGCTGAGATGCGTGCGCTGTAGCGCCAACCCGCACGACAGAGGGAAAGGAGGAGGAGGAGGAAGAGGAGGAGGAGGAGGGAGGACGGAAGAACGTCGCATTCGATTCTCAACACTTTCCTGTCGTGGCGTTTGGTTGTCCGCAGCAGATCCTCACGTACATGTTCTTTCCACCTGTCTTATGCACGCAGCCATTGGTGTACACCAGCGCTGCGTTGCACGTGGATGTTGTGGTGTATACAGGCGCCGTGGCGTGCACGTGCGCCGCGGTGCACGCAAACATTGTGTCGTACACAGGTGCTGTGTTGGTCACGGCTGTTGCGGTGTACGCATGTACGCCAGCGCTGTAGTGTACGCAAGCACTGTGGTGTACACCGGCGCTGCGTTGCACACGGTTGTTGCGGAGTACGCAGGCGGTGTGGTGTACACGCGCTCTGTGGTGCACGCGAGCGTCGTGGTGTACACAGGCGCAGTGGGGCAGATCGCCACCTACATGCTGCTCGCGTCGTCGTCGTCGTTGTCGTCGTCGTCGTTCGTCGCTCGTCGCGTCGTGCGCACGGGCGCGGCTGTGGTGCCGGAACCACACGACGGGGGGGGGACGTTACATCATACCCCCCCGCCCCTCGCGTGGCCTCGGTAGAAACTTGGCATTAAGCGAATCAAGTGCCAGGGCTGCGGTTGAAGGACGGAGGGAGGGCGGGGGGAGGAAGCATCGAGGAAGCCCAAAGCTGGAGCTCGCCAGCCAAGAACCCCGGTTTGTCGACGCTCTTTGGCGGCCCCGTCCTGCACTTTGGCGGCCCAGTGTTCGTCGGACAGTTGCAGCGTGAGCTCGCGACCGGTGTCAGCCCGGGTCTCGCCCTTCTGCGGGCGGCCCCCGTCCGGCCATGTCGGGTCCTTCACACTCGAGCCCCTCGCCTCGCCGAAGGGCGGGAGGGCCCAAAAACAAGATACGGTAGGTTTGCGTCGTGTCGACCAGCGGCGACCCCAGCGCGGGCGTTCAAGGTTGAACGCCGCCGGCGACCAAGAATCGATCGATGTTGAACGATCGGACGTTGCGGCAGCGGCCGATCGTTCAAGGTTGAACGATCCCTGCGGTGTCAAAAACCAACGCTGGGGTCGGCACGACACGAACCTGCCGTACAGTGGGCGCCCATGCCAAGAAAACCACCCTGCTTGCTTTCAAGGTGCCCTGGGCCTCTTGGGGTTCGATGGCTTTTCGATGGGAAGCGTGACGTTCAAGCATTGGAAATCAATGGACGTGCTGGGATTTCAGGGTTGGGTTTCTTGTGGAAGGTTTCTTGTGGTCGAGCGCCTACCGTATGCACAGACACCGTCCCATGTATGGCTCCTGGGCCTCAGTGGAGGGTGACAGCGTATGAATCACCACCGACAGCCAGCCAATTTCATCACGCCGCGACCCTCCCCGAAGGTACGTGCAAAGCTCGTCGGAGGGCGTCCGTGTCTATAATTTAAGGCGTCGGGGGAGGCTTGGCTTAAGTCGGGCATGCCCCTCTGCAGGACGAATCTTCAAAAAGAGTCAACAGAATAGTCTGGGTACGATTTTCTGTTCATTACTGATTGCTTCTGAACCTTGCTTGGACTACTTTTAAAGGTTTCGCCAGAAGTCCGCCTGTAGGGGGACATGCCCGACCTACGGCTTGGCGGCAAGCCCGGGGGGGAAGTCAGGGGGGGGAACGGGAATGTAGCAACACTCACGCGCAGCAATGGTTTTTCGTTAGCTCGGGCAGCACTTTGGGTAACACTGCCTGTACCCTCGCTTCCTTAGCGGATTCGAGCCTCACGCCGATGGATGACCGCATGTGCTCATCAGGCTCTGGTGCCGAGACAGATACAACAGATACAAGTCCACCTTCCAACCCCAACCTGGGGGGGGAAGTCAGGGGGAGAAGGCCTTCTCGGAAGGCTCGGGAGCCCCCCCAAGCCTTCCGGGGCAGTTCTCTCCGAGCCTCCCCCGAGGGCACGGGGAGCTTCTCAGGAGGCGCCCGGGCCTCTGGAGAAGCCCCGCCGCCCTGCCTCCTCCTCCCTCCTCCTCCTCCTCCTCCTCCTCCTCCTCCCTCTTTCCTCCTCCTCCCCTCCTCCTCCCTCCTCCTCCCTCCTCCTCCTCCTCCTCCTCCCTCTTCTCCTCCCTCCTCCCTCCTCCTCCTCCTCCTCTCTCCCCCTCCTCCTCCTCCCCTCCTCCTCCCTCCTCCCCCTCCTCCTCCCCCTCCTCCTCCCATCCCTCCCTCCTCCTCCCCCATCCTCCTCCTCCTCCTCCCTCCTCCTTCCTCTTTCCCCTCCTCCTCCCTCCTCCCTCCTCCTCCCTCCTCCTCCCTCCTCCTCCCTCCTCCCTCCTCCCTTCCACCCTGAGCTCGCCGCCGAGATCGAGGGAGCGAGGAGGGAAGGAGGAAGGGAGCGAGGCTGTCCCCGGGGGCGCCCAGCGGACCTCGGGGGGGGGGTGGGGCGGCTCTCGCCCCCAGTGGGTGGGGGTGAGGGGTGAGGGGGAGGGGGGGCGAGGACTACGACCTGGACGCCTGCGGGTCGTCGTCGAGCATGCCGCAGGAGACGGGCGGGGCGGGGCCAGGCTCGGGGATGGGGGGATCGAGGCCTGAGGCCTGAGGTGCTGGGTTCGAGGAGGGGGGGAGGGAGGGAGGGCTTGGAGGAAGGTTGGAACGTCGGGTCTTCGAAGATAGTTTGAGGATCCAGGCTTTGGGTTCCAGGAGGGAGGGATGGAGGAAGGAAGGGAGGGCTCGGAGGAAGGATCAAACTTCGAGCCTTCGAGGATCGAAGCTTTCGGGCATATGTTTCGCGCCTTCTGGTCCTCGCGTAGGCCTCGGCGGCGTCGTGGCTGGATTCGCTTCGGCGTTCCAGGCAGAACGCAGCGCATCACAGTTTTTGGGATCGACGCTGCTGCGCCACAGCCAACGCTCGCAAAGCAGCAGCGTTCCCGGCAGAACGCTGCTGCTTGTGGTGCTCCTGCTTGTGGTGGTGTTGCTGCCGGGACCATCTTGGGGTAGGAGGAGAAAGAGGAGGAGGATGATGAGGAGGAGGAGTAACAACAGAAACAGAAGAGGAGGGAGGCCATATTTGGCTTTCTAGGGCCCTCTTGGAACCGTCTTGGACCAGTTTGGACGCTGCTACGAGTGACGCCCATGGGGGGGGGAGGTAAACCTCCCAAACAGGCGAGGAAGGAGGTTGGATATTGCAGGGTGTTTGCAGGGTGATTGCTGGGTCTTTGCAGGGTCATTGCAGGGTTTTTGGAGCCCTCTTGGGGCTCTTTGCGGGGGGTCTGGGAGGCCACTTGGAGCCGTTTTGGACCCCTTTGCTTAAAAAGAGGGGGGCAGTAAATTTACGCCCCCTCTCGGAGGCCCAAAAGGGGCGCCTTGGGGCCCTCTTGGGCCGCTCTTGGGGCGCTCTTGGGCGCTCTTGGGGCTGTCTTGAGGTCCTCTCGGGCCTCTTGGGGCTATGTTGGGCCATCTTGGGGCCAGCTTGACGCCTCAGGAGCCCATCGGAAGCGAAATAGCGAAACGGCACAACACATTGATTTTCCTAAGGTGTTGAACCCATTTTTGCCTCTTGGAGGAATCCTTGGAGGGCTCGGAGGGCACTTGAAACCGTTTTGGGTCCGTCTTGAGGCCTCTTGGATGCGTGTTGGAGGCTATCTTGAGTTGGCCGTCTTGAAGTGTCTTGGGCGATCTTGGAGGCCATCTTGGGCTTGCCAAAGCCCTCTTGAAGCTATCTAGGGCCACCATGGACGCTCTAACCCCTCGCGGGAGAGCCTGTCCAGACCCAGGGAGGGGGGAGGTAAACCTCCCGAGCAGGGAAAGGAAGGAGGTTAGAAAAGGAAACGCTCTAGACCACGTGCGCCCAAAGGGCTGGTGGGATTCTGGGCTGGAGGGAGAGGATGCAGGAGGGTGTACGTAGGAGGACACGAGGAGAGGAGGTGGGATGATGATGAGGATGCTGATGCACATGGTGATGATGATGATAATGATGATGATGATGATGATGATGATGATGATGATGATGATGAGGATGATGATGATAATGATGATGTTGATGCTGATGATGGTGATGATGATGCTGCTGATGCCGATGCGGATGCGGATGCTGATGATGATGTTGGTGGTGGTGGTGGCGGTGATGATGGTGATGATGATGATGATGCTTCTGATGATGATGTGGAGGAGGATGATGAGGATGAGGATGAGGATGATGATGATGATCATGAAGATACTGATGATGATGGTGCTGCTGGTGATGATGATGATGCTGATGATGCTGCTGATCATGATGCTGATGCGTATGCTGACTAGTGCTATGGTGCTGATGCTGTTGATGCTGATGATACTGATGTCGATGGTGATAACGATGGTGATGCTGATGGTAGTGATGATGATGCTGATTTTGCGTATGATGACGATGGTGGTGATGATGCTGATGACGATGACGATGATCATTGTGATGATGATGCTGCTGATGATGATGCTGCTGATGATGATGGTACTGCTGACGATGCTGATACTGATGCTAACACTGATGGTGATGATGATGATGCTGCCTGTGATGACGATGGTGGTGATGATGCTGCTGAGGATGGTGTGGCTGATGAGGATGCTGCTGATGATGATGCTGATGATCATGATGATGAAGGTACTGCTGACGTTGCTGATAATGATGCTGATGATGATGGTTGTGGTGATGCTGATGATGATGCTGCCTGTGATGACGATGGCGCTGATGATGCTGCTGATGATGGTGTGGCTGATGATGGTGATGATGATGATGATGATCCTGACGACTGGATGTTTGAGGATGATGATGGTGATGAGTATCAGACTGCTGGTGATGATACCGATGATGATGATGATGATGATGATGATGATGATGATGATGATGATGATGAGGATGAGGATGATGATGATGATGATGATGCTGATGATGATGATGGTGATGATGATGATGATGATGATGATGGTGATGATAAGGATGCTGCTGATGCTGATGATGCTGATGCTGATGCTGATGATGCTGATTATGATGATGATGCTGATGATGATGCGGATGCTGCTGCTGCTGCTGCTGATGATGATGATGATGATGATGATGATGATGATGCTGATGACTATGTTGATGCTGAGAAAGAAGAAGAAACAACAGAGGAGGAGGACGAGGAGGAGGAGGAGGAAGAGGCAGTGGAAGAGGATTGAGGACGGTGGAGGAAAGAGGGAGGAGAGCAGGGAATAGGGGGGCATGATAATATTTTGTTTTAGCTCTCGGCCCGTTTGGGCTGGGCAGGCTGAGATGTGGGCCGACGGATCCCGATGAGTAGCGCAAGCGTCCGAGGCAGGTCAACTAGCCTTTGGAAGAACCGGCCGGTCCTGATCGCACATTTCTTCTGCCCGAGGCTGGTCTTGCTTGTGTTTGCCCTCTCTTTTAAATGCTCGGTTGCAGAGGTGCGTTTTAGCCCATCGCGTGTCACAGAGCGCGAGCGGCCTGTGCAATACAGAAGGTACGGAGGCGAAGGAGGGACCGAGCTGGAACATGAGACGGATGATGGGGGGGAAGGAGGCTGAGGAGGGAGGGAAGGTGGACCAAGACGGGGAGAGAGGCAATAGGGAAGAGGCGAGGAATGTGGGAAGGCGGTGTGTCCTGCCGCAGGAAGGCGAGAATAAGCTCATAAACATATTCGTGATCCGCCGTGGCGGCTGCTCTTTCGTGACGAAGGTCAAGATTGCAGCGGAGAAGTGCGCGCACGCGGTGATCATAGTAGACAGGGAGGATCGAAACCAAAGAAACTTTTATGCTAGCGTATGCTCACATATGATGTCAAGGCGTCCTCTCTTCCGAGCAGCATCTCAACACATCTTGCCGTAATGCAGCGAAGTCGCAGAAGCTGGCCTAGTTTCTGAGAGCAGACATGCAATACGCCAGAACATACGTATGCCTGATGTCCTTCCAGATCGTTACGTCCAGCTGTCCCTGCAGAGCTCTTCCCGCCTCCCCCTCAAGTGTGCAACCGCACGCGGAACTGCCGGAGGTCCGCGCAGACTTACTTGTTCGGCACCTGAGCTCCTCGCTGGCGCCTTTGGCGCAGCCTCCCGGCGCGCCACAGGGCGCGCCGGGGGCAAGGCCCCGCGCCGACTCCAGAAGTCCGTTCAGACCTCCTCCTCCTCGTTTCTCCTCGTTCCTCCTCGTTCCGCCTCGTTCCTCGCTCCTCGTTCCTCCTTCTTTCTCCTCCTCCTCCTCCTCCTCCTCCTCCTCCTCTTCATCCTCCTCCGTGCCGAGTGTCTGTTCATGTGTTGCCTGTATCCTGAAGGATTCGAATCAGACGGCAGAGGACTTGAAACACATCATTGTGGCTGACGATGGGTACGGAGGTTCGATAGAGATCCCGTCGGTGCTCATCTCCAGGGAGCAGGGCCAGCATCTGATCAACTCGCTCGAGAGCAACCAGCAGATAGTGGCGGAGCTGGCCTGGGACATACCCACCGACCACGTCGTGAATGTGGACATGTGGATCAGCTCTGCGTCCAGGGAGATCGGAGAATCCATGATTGCCCACATATGAGCTTTCGAAGCTCCGCGCAGATCTTTGGCATCGGCGCTGGGCCACCTGGCGGCTCCTCCGTCGCCGTCCCTGGCGTGCTCCGCGCTGCAGGGGGGGGGTCCAGCGCCGATCCAAGAAATCCTCGCAGTGCTCCGAAAGTTTACGTTCATGCCGCTTCTTGCTCCTCTAGGAGAGCCTCCGGTTCTTGAAGGAGTTCGCGCCCAAGCGGAGGTTGCTCAACTCGGTGATCGGCGGCGAAATCCGATCCCTACCCTCGCTGATATACGATTCGGGCAACTCGATTGGCGGCGGGGGTAGGGCTGGAATCGTCGAACACATAAGGACATCCGAACCCTACCCCCGCCTCCCATCGACTCAGGAGACTGGATGGTTTGGGGGGGGTCGGATTCGGATTTCTCCATATAGGTGATCAGCTTCACGCCGCACTACGCCGTCTTTGGCATGGACCGCACCAACCCTGCGGTCTTCAACGAGCTCTGCACGACCACCGACGGGCAGTACTGCGCGGAGGACCCGGACGGCGCGGGCCCCGTGACGGGGAAGGACGTGCTCGAGGAGGACGTCCGCCAGCTCTGCATTCACGAGACGTACAAGAAGGCGGCTAACGAGCCCGCTCCTCCCGAGGAAGAATCCGGCACAGACATGCGGTCATGAACTCTGGCTCAGCGTATCGCGGCGTCGACGTCCCCAGCATTTCCCCTCCTCCTCCTCCTCCTCCTCCTCCTCCTCCGCCGCCTCCGCCTCCGCCTCCGCCTCCTCCTCCTCCTCCTCCTCCTCCTCCTCCTCCGCCTCCTCCTCCTCCTCCTCCTCCTCCGCCTCCGCCTCCGCCTCCTCCTCCTCCTCCGCCTCCTCCTCGTCCTCCTCCTCCTCCTCCGCCACCCCCCCACTGGGGCCATTATTTCAATGCAGTCCGTGGTTCCTTCCCCAGGCGTCGACGTCCCCAGCATTCCCCAGCTTCCCGCCTCGTGGAGTGGAGCGACGCGCTAGCCGCCGGCAGGGGATAGCGTGCCGCCCGGGCCGCCGCCGCGATACGCCAAGCAACAGCTCCCGACTGTCAGCCTTCGGAGTTGGGGAGGAGGAGGAGGAGGAGGGGGCGGGGGAGGAGGAGGATAGGCAGGATGGGGAGGAGGAGGAGGAGGAGAAGGAGGAGGAGGAGGAGGACGGACGGACGGACGGACGGACGGACGGACACCATGAGCTCCATCGATCTTTGACGCGACGTGCACTCTGCACTCGCTGCAGATCTCACATCAAAACTATCATTACGCAGTCCATCCTCTGGATTGCCTGCTGAAGCTGGAGCGGTGAACCTGCTAGGTGCGGATCGCCCTTCGGGGCTGGGCCAGATGCGGCGGAGATGCCCTACGGGGTCATGCCGACCCCAGGGCACGCTCCCACGATCTCCGACGTGTGAGGGGACCGTGAGGAGGAGGAGGAGGAGGAGGAGGAGGAGGAGGAGGAGGAGGAGGAGGAGGAGGAGGAGGTGGAGTTGGGTCCCCCTGGCGGCGCCTCCGGCGCCTCCCCTGGCTCCGCGCGCCAAGGAGGGAACCTTAGCGCCGCTCCAAGATATCCGCTCGGACCCCCGAACGTGTATGCTCATGCAGTTCGTGATTCTTTCCTCCTCCTACTCCTCCTTCTCCTGTCGCTTTGACTCGTCCTTTGCCATAACCCCCTCCTCCGCGCCCCCTTTCTCAGATGCTTGTTTGGGAGACCTCGCTGGGGCCTACCCAGCGGATCTGTTCCGTTCTGGTTTGTTTTCAACTCGACGCTAGCTTGACGCACGTTCGATTCAAGTCCACGGGCGTTCGACGCGGCATCGGCGCATGAGTGGAGCGAGTAGCTCCAGGACGGTATCCAGAACGAGCATATAGCCCGCCTGAGAGAAAACGGCCAGGTGTCCAACGATGGCCGCGTCCAGTTCTCCCAGGAGTTCTGGGACTACATCGAGCACCTCGGGGAAGAGTGCCCGCTGGACGGCCCCCCTGGGGACAACGGCTTCGGCATGAAATGCTCCAAGAGGCTCATGAGGAAGTTCGGTATCAACACTGACACAATCGATGAGTGCGCGATCCGAAGCAAGGAGGCCGACATCATTTCTTGCTACTTCGTCTCACCCCCCCTCCTCGTGCTCCTCCCCGCTTCCTCCTGATCCTCCTCCCTCCTGCCACTCCTCGCCCTCCACATCCGCCACCTCCTCTTGCCTTCTCCTCCCCTCCGAAAGGCCAAGCTGAAGGATCAGCGGGAGCACCCCGCCTGGTCCCCGCGGGCCCTGCGCATCAACGGTGTGCCTCTCCCTCTGCCTTCCCTGCCCCTTCTCGTCTCTGCTCCTCCTTTCTCCCTGCTCCCTCCGCCCCTGGGTCGGCCGCCCTCCCTTTCCCCCCTCCAGGAGGAGGAGGAGCAGGAGGAGGAGGAGGAGGAGCAGGGGGAGGAGATGGAGTAGGAGTAGGAGTAGGAGGAGGAGGAGGAGGAGGAGGAGGAGGAGGAGGAGGAGGAGGAGGAGGAGGAGCCCGCCCTTCTTCCCCCACCTCTCTCGTCGCCAGTCCCTCGCCGTCCTCCCTCCCCCTCCTCTCCGGGTTGGCGCTACACGGGGATGCTGGATACGGACCTCGTCACGCGCGCCATCTGCTCGGGCTTCATCACGACGCCCAAGGAGTGCAGCGACCTGCTGCAGCCGCGGAACCCGTACGGGAATTTGCACGCCAGCGCCGTCCGCACGGGGAGACCACACAAACATTTTAGCCTCCCAGATGGGGTCCGAGCAGAGGGGGTCCGAGGATCGCGCCGCATCGCCGATGCATCGCCGATGCGGCTAGAGGTGGAGTCCGATGTTTTCCACGCCAACGTCGCCGATGCATCGCCGCCGTCGCGGATGTACTGGCGAAGCGTTGGCGGTGCATCGGCGATGCATTGGCGATGCGGCGCGATCTTCCGACCCCATCTACTCCGACCCCACCTGGGAGGTCTCTATAACAGACGTTTCCGGGAGCCTATCACACGGGGGGGAAACACGTCCAGATGAGCACAGTTAACAAGTTGAGATATTCCGCCACAGACAACACAGACACCCTCCAATCGATTTTCTGGGCCATGATAAGCGCGTGGCGGTGAATACATCTCCCTTGCGAGCCAGCCACTTGATACACCGCCGCCTTCCATGAAGGTGCACGCACAGTTTCTCGGAGGGTGTCTGTATATATATATATATATATAGATATGCACATATTTAGAATTGTTACATATACACACATATATATATGGGAATATACATATGTATGTACATGCATAGATTTATCTACGTGTATACACTCGTGGCGTAGATTGAGACTCCTTCGGGCTTAGGGGGGGCTCTGGTTTTTTGCACGCTCCCTGGATCGAGGTCGGGGGGTCCCTCCGAGGCCGAGGCCGGCCGTGGCCGGGAGGCTCCCCCCCGGAGTCCTGCTCGGCGCTCCCCGTGGTACGGTCAGCCCGCACGGCAATGACGGGCAGCTTTCCAAGGCTTCCCCCTCCTCCCCCTCCTCCCCCTCCTGCTCCTCCTCCTCCTCCTCCGCCTCCTCCTCCTCCTCACACACTTCCTCCGCCTACCCTGTCACGTTCTCGTTTAGCTCCTTCCTGTGATCACACATCCCGTCGTCATCGACGGCCAAAACCTTCAGGGTCGGCGGCGCCGGTCGTAAGGCCTTCACAATAAGCGGTCGGGGGGGGGCGTCACCCCCGCCGACAGCCCCAACATCGAATCGACACCCGTCGCGGGCAGCCACCGCACGCCGAAGGCGCTCTGACCCCCGTCGCGGCGCGACGACGAGGCGAGGTTGACCCCCGTCGGGGAATATATCCCCCACGCTTATCAAGAGACCCATCGTGCCCTTGCCTCCTTCCCTTTCGGCCCATCCCTGGCCGCTTTCGCTGGCCAGCCCCACTCGAAGAACGTCAATGTGGTTTTCCGTGGCCCTTGCACCCTCATCCGCGCATCCTTGTTCTACGGGTTGGCGGTAGCACGAGGATTGCACAACAGGTTCGTGTAGTGCCGACGCAGCGGCGACCTCAGCGCGGGCGTTCAAGGTGGAACGCCTGCAGCGCCCCGCAATCGGCCAGTACGTACAGATCTGGCGATCGAAAGAAAGAAAACGGCCGATCGTTCCAGGCTGTCAGGTCCGCGCGGTACCCGAAGCCGTCGCCGAAGTCGTCACGACACGAGTTCGCCGTAGGGGGGAGGTAAGGCTTCAGCTTTCGCACGGACAGCCCTCCCAGGGAGTCCTGGCTGGCCTTAACAGGCCCCCCGAGTCGTAGTAGGAGGAGGGGGAGGCCGACGAGGAGGAGGAGGAGGAGCAGGAGGAGGAGGAGCAGAAAGAGGAAGAGTGGGACGGCGAGGAGCAGGAGGAGGAGGACGAGGAGGAGGAGGAGGAGGACGACGACGAGAGGCAGTCCAGGGCGGCTTCAGCCCAAATTGCATCTAGTGCGCCCCCCAGGTGCCCGATCGCCGGAGCAGTCACCCTCTGCCCAGCCGCCGACGCAACAGAGTGTGTGTGTGTGTGTATGTGTGCGTGTGTGCACGTGTGCACGTGTGTGTGTGTGTGTGTGTGTGCTGTGTGTGTGTGTTGTGTGTGTGTTGTGTGTGTTGTGTGTGTGTGTGTTGTGTGTGTTGTGTGTGCGTTGTGTGTGTGTGCCGTGTGTGTGTGTATGTGTGTGTGTGTGTGCGTCGTGCGTCGTGCGTGCGTGCGTGCGTGCCGTGCGTGTGTGTGTGTGTGTGTGTGTTGTGGTGGTGTGTGTGTGCGTGTGTGGCGTGCGGCGTGCGTGCGTGAGTCGTGCGTGCTAGGCGGTTGTGGTTGGGTGGGTGGGAGGGTGGGGGGTGGTGGTGGGTGTTGGTGTGTTTGTTTGTGTGAGTGTGGTGTGTGTGTGTGTGTGTGGCGTGTGTGTGGTTTGTGTTGTGTATCGTGTGCGTGTGCGTGTGCGAATGCGTGTCGTGTGCGTGTGCTGTGCGTGTGCGTGTGCGTGTGGTGGTGATGTGTGGTTTGCGTGTGTGTGTGTGTGTGTGTGTGTGTGCGTGTGCGTGTGCGTGTGCGTGTGCGTGTGCGTGTGCGTGTGCGTGTGCTCCCAGGCCCCCTTCGGCCCTCTGCTCCCCCCCCCGCGTCCTCGGCGGCTCCCCAGGGCCTCTGCTCTGCCTCCCGCGGCCTCGGCCGCCCTTGCCTCCCCGGCTGCTCCCCAAGTGTCTTCCGGGCGCTCTGCAGCTCTCTCTCGCGCGCCGCCTCCTCCTCCTCCTCCTCCTCCTCCTCCTCCTCCTCCTTCCTCCTCTCCTCCCTCCTCCTCATCCTCCTCCTCCCCTCCTCCTCCTCTCTCCTCCTCCTCCTCTCCTCCTCCTCCTCCGCCTACTCCTCCTCGCCTCCCCCTCCTCCTCCTCCTCTCCCCTGCTCTTCCCCATCTCCTCCTCCTCCTCCTCCCCCTCCTCCTCACTCCTCCCCTCCTCCCCCGCCTCCTGCCTCCTCCTCCTCACTCCTCCTCCACCTCCTCCTCCTCCTCCCCTCCCCTCCTCCTCCTCCTCCTCCCCTCCTCCTCGCTCCTCCTCCTCCTCTCCCTCACTCCTCCTCGACCATCCTCTCTCCTCCACCGCCTACTCCCCCTCCTCCTCCTCCTCTCCTCCTCCTCCCCCCCCTCCTCCTCCTGCTCCTCTCCTCCCATCCGCCTCCTCCCTCTTTTCCTCCCCCTCATCCTACGCCGCCTCCATCCTCCTCCTCCTCACTGCTCCTTCTCAACCTCCTCCTGTTCCGCAACTTCGTCCTTCCTGCTCCTCCACTCCTCCTCCCCCTCCTCCGCCTCTCCTCCTCCTCTCCTCTCACTCCTCCTCCTCCTCCTCCTCCTCACCTCCCCCCTCCTCCTCCTCCTCTCCTCCTCCTCCTCCTCTCCTCCTCCTCCTTCTCCTCCTCGCCTCCTCCTCCTCCTCCTCCTCCTATCCCTCCTCATCCTCCTCCTCCTCCTCCTCCTCCTCCTCCTCCTCCTCCTCCCCCTCCTCCTCCTCCTCCTCCTCCTCCTCCCCCTCCTCCTCCTGCCCCTCCTCCTCCTCCTCCTCCTCCTCCTTCTCCTCCTCCTCTTCCTCCCTTTGCCGCTGCCCCTGAACCTGCCTCTGCCCCTGCTCCGCGTGTCGCCGAGGCCATCTGGGCCTACAATCTACCCCCATAGGAAGGATGGGCAACCTTCCCGTGGGTAACCATCGGTCGTTGAAGGTAGGTGTTTTTGGATTCCCAGTTTCCAGTCTACTTTAGGCGCCTGCCTACTTCAAGAGTCGAGTGGCTTCACCTGTTCCGTCCTCCTGAGGAGGCGGACGGAACCCAATCTACTTTCAACGCCTTCCTATCTCACGTTTCTACCTACGTCTTCCGACCAACGGGTACCTTTGCATGCTTGCCTCCTCGGCCCATCCTTGGCCACTTTCGCTGGCCGTGCCCCGCTCGCAAAACGTCGAAACGGCCCTCCTTGCCAAGGCCATTGTATCCTTATCGATCATTTTTATGATGCGGGCCGACTGTGCTCGAGGGGGCTGCTGAGGCTTTGCGTCCAGCCTCGAAGCGAAGCGGCCGTATGGCTCTTCGAATCCGGCATCGGGTCGATGTGCTGTGGCCTCCTCGGCGGCCTCGGCGGATGCAGCCTCGAGGCCTCCTCTGAGGGCCGCCGCCGCAGCCGTACACCGTTTGGAGCCAGCCGAGGTCAAGGGTGGGGTCACCTTCGGCGAGATGTTCTCCTGGCTGGGCATCACCCTGCTGGTGGCATTCGCGGCCCTGCTGCTGTACAAGCGCTACCTGAAGAAGGAGATGCGGGTGACCCTGAGGGAAGAGGTGACGCTCCACCCTCCTCCGCCTCTTCCTGGACTCCGTCGCCCTCCTCCGCCTCGTCGCCTCCTCCGCCCCCTTCTCCCGGCCTCCTCCTCCTCCCCCTCCTCCTCCTCCTCCTCCTTTCCCTCCTCCTCCTCCTCCTCCTCCTCCTCCTCCTCAACCTTCTCCTCCTCCTTCTCCTTCTCCTCCTCCTTCTCCTCCTCTTCCTCCTCCTCCTCCTCAACCTCCTCCTTGGTGGCTCGCGCCGATCTTTCCCCGCGGCGGGGCTCGAACGGCCCCAGCGCGATAGCCCCCAGCTCCGCCCATCGGGCAGGCGCGGCGGCGGACCGCGGCGGCGCGCGGTAGGCCTCGCCTGTCCGGCATCGGCGTTTTCGCGGGCGCCGAGCGCAGGCGCGCGAGCGGCTGCAGGTGCGGCAGCAGCGCCTCCTGCTGGACCAGCACGACGGCAGCCAGGTGCCGCTCGCTCTCGTGCATGAGCCAGCGCGTGGAGCCAAGGCGGGGCCGGGTGTCAAAGGGAAGCCGCGGCCAGCAGGAGGCCCAGCGGGCTGCGGCGGCGTGCATGATGGCCCAGCGGGCCCATGCCCCCCACTGTGGCCGCCAGCGCGACGAGGCCTGGTGGAGCTGGCATGAGCAGTGCAGCAGGGAGATCGTGCCCACCAGGCCTCCGCCGCGCAGGGGGCGGTCCAGCGGCCGTGGCGCGGCTCCCTGGCACGCACAGTGGCCGCCCCTGCCCCCTGGCGCTGGTGAGCCTCGCCCTCTGTGCAGCTCCCGCGTGCGCTTCGCCCTCCAGGACTTGGGACTGGGCCACAGGAGCAGCAGAGGTGGCAGACCCTGAGGAGGACAAGCTGGCGCAGCTCATCGGCCTCCTGCGGCTCTCCAGGGATGGCGAGGGGACGCCGGCATGCCAGCTGCAACTGGGCCAGCTGCGCGGGGCCGGGCGCGCTGCCCCAGCGTCGGTGGACGCGGCCAAACCAGTCACAGGCGGGGCCGCGGCCGAGCTGCAGGAGGCTGCGGGCCAGGTGGAGCACCTGCAGGAGAAGGGGGGGGGACGGCCAATCAGAGCGCGGCTCGGGCTACCACCAAGCTGGACGAAGCCACGGCGGCCTTACACCAACGTCATCCAGACGCTGGCCAGGCAGGCGGTCCACAGTCGCAGACAGCCGAGCCAACGGCGCCGACGATCTCCACTGTCCTGCTCCTCGGCGGCCAGGACGTCGAGCTCGACGACAGGCCCTTCGGGCTCGAGGCTTTGGAGGAGCTGGAGGGATGCGAGATCAAGGAGTCTGACAAGGAGGAGGCGGCAAACAGGAATCGGGCACTCCAGCAGACGTTCAGGGAGCTGGCCACGACAGCGTGCGGCCAGCTCGCTACGGAGGCGCCCAAGCCCCAGCGCCAGCAAAAGGCATTCGCAGAGCACGCCCCCCCCCAGAAGGAGCGCACGACCGAGGCGGACGGAGCAGCCCCGAGCGGGCACGACCGTGCCCCGCGGCGGCCCCGGCCGCGGCCGCTGGCTCGTCTGCCCCGGCAGCTGCTGCGGCCACCGCGTTGCCCGCAGGCCAGACTCAGGAGGGCGTCTCCGACGTCTTCGCGGACGCCAGGGCTCGAACGCTGGGCGAGGGCTGCGAACCGTGGCTGCTAAAGCGGCCCTCCTGGAAGGAAGAAACAACTTCCCGGCATGAGGCGCGGCACGCGAAACAGCCAACGGGCTCCTTCCCAGAAGGACGAAGACATCCTCCCGGAGGTCGATGCTAGCAGCCACGGGTTTGGCAGCTCTTGCCCGGCTGCCGAAAGGCCAAGCTGGCGGCTGCTGAAAGGTGCCGGGGTTGCGGCGTGGAGCAGCCAGCCAGGCCCGCAGCAGCTCCGTCGCTCGACCCCACGGCGGCCCCGTCACTTTGCCAGCCCACCCCGTCGAGCGCTGCAGAGGAGGGGCGCCCCGGGCCCAGCCGGCCGTGTCGGTGCTGATCATGGGCAGTCTGATGAGACAGAGGCGGGCAATCCCTGCGACGAGCTCGCACCGGGGGCCTGCGGGGGGCCGGACAGGAGCGAGCTCAATTTCGGGCACGGTCGTGGGCCCTGCAGCTCGGGCTCCGGTCGGTCCTGGGACCAGGGGGTGAAGGTCGGCATCGGCTGTAGGGCAACGGTCTCAGTTGTGGCCAGGCTGCCAGCGTCCGCCAATGAGGCCCAGGTGCGCTGCCACTGGTGGTCCTCAGTGGCCGACAGGCTCGATGGAGGTCGCTTCGTGAAGGTGGTAGCCCACCAGAGTGAGGCGGTCGTGAGGGAAGGTAGGATCACGCATGCACAGTTGCGTGACAATGGCAACGCGGATATGCTGGTCAAGATCGGGGCCGAGCCTTTGTGAGCGTCGGCGAAGCAGAGGTTGGCCGTCGAAGGATGTGCTTCCCTGGTCCTCGGGATGGGCTGGTCTGCTGCTTCCCAGCAGGCGCGCATTTGTAAAGCTGAGCTCCATGACCATGATGGGCTGGAATGGCTTACCACGCTTCCCCTGGAAGTCATCCTTGGCCCCCCGATACCTGGGGCTTGCCAGTCTGCTGCTGGTGAGGAGGGCAGCATGCCCGGGGAAGACCCTGAGAGCTTGGAAGGCGTGCAGGGGGCCTCCATCGAGGGATCTCGAGAGACTCGTGAGGAATTGAGCTTTAGGGGGCACAGGCTGTGGTGGCCCAGGTCTTTGAAGATAGGGAACAGCGCGCAGTGGACTCCCTCGCCCTCTGCTCCACGTGTGCGGCATACGCCCGCGGCTCCCACAAGAGGCCCGCGAGGGGGGATCCATGGGCAGTGTCACGGCAGACCTTCGAAAGGGCACTTCAATTTTGTTGAGCTTTGCTGGCAGGGGCGTTTTCCCAGGTACAGCGCGGCCTTCGTACTGCGCGGAATGGCCCCCCCCTCGCGTTCGGCGTCCGAAGCGAGTGGTCCTGGGCCCTGTCCTCCTCGGACGCATCCTCTTACACCTCCCTGGGACCTCCGCGGGATTCCAGGGACTCCGGGCCGTTGGATGCTGAACGGGGGCTGAGCTGTTTCGGTCTCTCCTAGGATGAGGCGGCCTCGCTGGGGCAGGCTGCCTGAGTCAGGCAAGCGGCGGCCACTTCGGCCAGAGCGCGGGGAGTGCAGGCCGCCGGTTCTCTCTTTTGAGGGGTCGCTCCGCCTTTTCCCCGAATTTGTGGGGGCGCCCCCCCTTAGCAGCTGACGTCTGCGCCTTCTCCTCCTCCTGGGCCTCCTCCTATTCGGCCTCCTCCTCCTCGAGCCTACTCACGGCTCCTCATCATTATCCTCCTCTTCTTCCTCCTCCTCTTCCTCCTCATCTTCCTCCTCCTCCTCCTGCTCCTGCTCCTACTGGCCTTTTCCTCCTCCTCCTCCTCCTCGTCCTCCTGCTCCTCCTCCTCCTCGTCATCTTCCTTCAGTCCTTTTTCTTCTGAATATCTCCTCCCTGTTCCGCCCCGAGGCCAGTCGGAAGGCCGGGCCGAACAACTCGCCTGAGAGACTTCCTTACCGCTTCTGAACTTCAAGCTGAACAGCTGGCAATTTGTTTTCGGATGGAGGGCTGCTCACTTCCAAACTGAGGTTCTCGCTTTGGCGCCGCGCACATTCGTTTCAAGAATGTGCAAGGGCTTCAAGGATGTATGGCGGGTTGGTTTCAATGCGTAGTTATCGCCTTAGCGCCGCGCGCATCCGTTGTAAACAATTGCAAGACATTTACAGAGTGAGGGCGGGTCGTTTTCAAAAAACGAATCCTTCTTTAGCGCCGCGCGCATTCGTTACAACAAACGCAAGAGCTTCACGGAACGAGGGCGATCCGTTTTCAAAATGCGGTTCTCGTCTTACTGCCGGGCACCGTCTGGGAAACATTGCAAGCGTTTCACGGGTTGATGGCCGTGCCGGTTTCAACATGTGGTTCTCGCGTGAGCGCCGCGCACAGATGTTAGAATTTTGCGCAAGGGTTTCGTTTATCCTCGTCGGTAACGCAGCAGAAACGCACCAGAAGCGGTGTTTTGGATCGGATCCAGATTGTGTGGGCGCAGCAGCCACGTTCATTCGCGGTGTTGAAGTCCCAGGAAGGTGTTCGGGCACGATTCAGGATCGTCAAGACGCAATTGTCAGCTCGATTCGTGGCGTTGAAGTCCTGAGGCTGGTGTTCTGGCATGCTGCAGGGTTTTCGCAGGTCTGTCCCCCAACGGGGCATTTCCTTCAGTGGAAATAGATCCTTGTGGGGCCTCTGAAGAGGGAGCTTGGAGGGAGGGTGTATTCCAGCATCGTTCATGAGTCTTGGGTTTGCATCGGTCATCCTCCTTCTCCTCGCGCCTCCTCCTCCTCCTCCCCTTCCTCTCCCTCCTCCTCCTCCTCCTCCTTTTCCTCTTCCTCCTCCTCCTCGAGCCTCCTCCTCTTCCTCCTCCTCCTCCTCCTCCTCCTTATCCTCCTGCTCCTTCTCCTCATTCTCCTCGCGCCTCCTCCTCCTCCCCGAGACCTCTCGCCCCCCTCGCCTCCCCCGAGAGGTAATGCTGGAGGTGCGGAGCGCGATGGGCGAGTACAGGCAGATGCAGGGCTGACCTGGCACCAGCTCGCCGCGTGCCGCCGCCTCGATCCCACCCTCCTCCCCGCTCCCCCCTCCCCTCCCCCCCCCCTTCGCCGGGGGCGCCCCGGAGGGCTCCCCCCTCCGCCCCTTAGGGGGCCACATGCGAGCCCTACCCCTACTCCCCACCATTTCGGAGGGGGAGGGTGGGGTTCACTTCGCTCGGGAGCCCCGGAACGAAGTGAAGCCCACACTCCCCCTGCGAAATCGTTGGGGGCAAGGGTAGGGTTCGCATGTGGCCCCCTCCCCCCTCCCCCCCCCTTCGCCAGGCGGGGGTGGACCGAAACGGTGTTTTGGCGTTTTCGTGGGCCGTTTTCGTTTCGATTTCGTTTTGCGTCAAAGGCGGATTGAAGACGAAACGCGGGAAAACGAGAACACAACGAAGACGAAAAACACCGTGTAGGTTCAGCCTTGTCGCCAGGGGCGCCTTGAGGGCGCGAAGTTGTTCGCGCTTCGCGCTTCAGCTCCAGTTCATCCTCGTCCTCCCTCTCTCCTTTTGGGGGGGCGGCGCGAGAGCGCGAAGTGGTTTGCGCTCTCGCGCTCCGCGCAGCGCGTCCCAGGCCAAGCCCGCACAGGAAGGATGAGCAGCTTTCCAAAGTCACCCTTACATCTTTCTCGTTTGACCCATCCTTGGCCGCCTTCGCTGGCCGCGCACCGCCCGCAGAGCGTCGGCATGGCCTTCCAAGGCCCCTGCATCTCTATCGCGCGCCCTCGCAACACGGGTTGCCTGTATCCCCATCCCCACTCTTATCCAGACCCCCACCATCTCAGCACCCCAGTTGGGGACATCCCCCACGCAGCCCGAAGCGAGCGGCCCATGCCCATATCCCCATCTAGGGGGGTCCATCGGCCAGGGGGGCCCAGGCCACGCCCACGTGGATTGGGGTTGGTTAAGCGATGCTCATCTTCTCATCCCCGCCACTCTCCCAGCTCTTCTGCCCCCCTGTCCCCAGACCACCTCGAGTCATGAAGAAACTACGACGGCCGTTTTTGTTCTAAATGTTCGGTCCCAGGGGGCCCTTACAGTAACTCGGGACCGTCAACAAAATCGAGCCAGGATGAAAAGCCCGTCCTGGGGAATGGGTCGAGACCTCTAGTAGGGTCGACGTTATGAACAAATCTATGAAACATCACGACGTCGGGGATCTGGGTCCCCAGGGCTCCTGCGAAGAAGGAGAGAAGCATGACACAACCTTTTGGAGCTCCGCGCGGATTTCTTCCAAGGGAGAAAAAAAACACCTGGACCCGATCACTGGCGTTTACAAATCGGCCCTGAGCGTTTACTAAACAGCCCTGCCCTGTTCGATTCGTTCTGTGGGTGCGCTTACGAAGCCCTTCACGTGTCGGGGTGATTATTATGGCAGTCGATCTTCTGCCATCAGTTTTGGAATCGGCGCTGAACCCCCCTGGCGCGCTCCGCAGAAGCCCCCTCTGGAGCCCCTGTGCTGGACCCCTCCCTGGATCGGCACTCGACCCCCCCTGGGGGTCCAGCGCGCGCGCACCCCCGAAAGCCTGCAGTGGAAACCCTGCTTGCCTCCAGGGGGCCCTGGGTTTCTCCGGTTTCGATGGTTTTGCGATGGAGAGCGTGACCTTCCCACACCGCAAGTCACCGGACGTCCTGGGGTCTGAGGGTTGGGGTCCTTGTGGACGGCTTCTTGTGGTCGGGCCCGGTCGCGTCACGACTCGCGCCGGCGCCGCTTCGGGTCCTTTGCCCCTCCCCGTCGGCGGAAGCACGGCTGCGATCGGTCGGCTCCGACCGAAAACCCCCTCCCCCCATCTCCTTCCCCATAAGCTTAGGTCGGGCATGTCCGCCTACATGGGGATTTTGGACGAACAATAAAAAAACATGTCAAACCATCTTCCAAAATGTTCAAAGGTAGTCAACAAATCATCCCCAGACTATTTGTTGACTATTTTTTATGTTCCCCCCTGTAGTAGAGTAGAGGGACATGCTCGACTTGACCTTAAGTGACCCCCGCTCTCGGCGGCGCTCCCAGGGTGGTGTCGGGACGATGCCGTGGGCGAGGTGCCGCGGTCACACTTGAAGCCCCCCTTCCCCGGGAGGTTTGGCCCAGGGAGGCTATGAGAAGAAATCGGGAGGGGCGGGCTGAAAGGCGTGGGACCAGGAGACCTCGCCCCTCCAGGGGGGGGGGAGTGGGAGGGGGCGGGCCGTCTCGGAAGGCGGCGGCCGCCGTTCTCGGAAAGCCCCCCGGGCCTCCCGAGCGCAGCTCCTCCGAGTCTTCGCAGGAGAGGGCTCCGCGGGCCTCCCTCAGAAGGCCGGGGGCCCCTCCGAGCCGTCCGAGAAGGCCCGCCGGACCTCGGGCGTCCCGCTCGGGCCCCGCGGCGCCCCCTCCCTACGCCGCGCCTCCCCCTGGCGCCCACCTGCGCGGAGCCGCGTCCGCGTCCGAGCCCTCGGACCTCTCGTCGCTTTTTCCGGGCCCGCCGCCGAGGCCCGCCCCCTCGCCCTCCTCGGGGCCCTCCCCGCCCCTCGCCTCGCCCTCCTCGCCCTCCTCCTCCTCGCCCTGGTCCTCGCCGCCTGCTCCTCCCTCCTCTCCTCGCCCTCCTCCTCCTCCTCCTCCTCCTCCTCCTCCTCCTCCTCCTCCTCCTCCTCTCCTCGCCCTCCTGGCTCCTCTCCTCGCCCTCGCCCTCCTGGCTCCTCTCCTCGCCCTCCTCTCCTCGCCCTCCTCCTCGCCCTCCTCGCCCTCCAGGGCTGGAGGGCTGGCGGGCAGGGAGGAGGGCTGGCTGGAGGGCAGGGAGGGCGGGGGCGGGGCGGAGGG